CAAATCTATAGAACCCAGTGGAACTTCTTAGTAAATCAATTAAGCAATAACTACACCTAAGGCATAGGTATCAGATCTTACTGTTCCCCATCAACAGAATAACTGCTTTAATCTTACTAACATTACCAAGTAATTTTTTAGAGAACTCTATCTCACGTTTTAAGTTCTATATACAAGTAGATCTCCTAAAACTGTATAGTTTTCTGTGATTTTAGCTGAGAAATCAGAAATCATACGATATCACGTTCTGTGACATAAGGAAGAAAACACCTAAATGCATCTATGAGAAGAAAAAGGTTTCCTATCAGTGGAAAATGAGAAAAAATTGTGACAAAGTAGCACAACCATATAGGCCACAAAGTAAAGCAACTATTCTTCTTCTCATATTCTTTCTCTAAAGCTAGGAAGTAGAGCAACTACTATCAACAGAGAAACAGTGTGGCAGCTGAGATTGCAGCATGAAAGAAGGGAGGGAGGACAGACAAGAATTTGGAAGGCGCAGTGAGAAGGTAATAACACCGAATCTAAGGACCAAATTCCGAATAACTGTTGGGGAAAAAAATCCTCTTAAACTTCCACAAGAAAGACATGCATTCCATAACAAAAATCAATATCTGTCCTTTGTTTTGGCTGTTGCCTTTTGATTGTGATTAGAATAAGGTTGCATTGTTTAAGGCGATATTAGTTGCAAGGAACAATTTATTATATACAAGACACTGAGACACTTAAATCTACATGCCTGAATGAGACCACTGGTATTTCCAGCAAAAAGATGATTGTATCTTTCAATTTTTCCAAGAACCTCAGCAGCATCAGGATCACTGCGCTCCCTTAATGAAGCTTCACCAGGAACCAGCAATGTAATCTGCCGACGACACAGTGGACATTTACATGGCTGGAGTACGGATCCATGATGCCAAACAAGCATAATACAATCACCTAAAATACCAAGTAAAAAAAATTGCATTACCTGCATGTTTAATCTTAACAATCTAGAAACCAGAGATTAGAAAGAGAGAACCCATATATCATTTCAACAAAAGAAAATAGATAAAAATATGCATTTTGACCACATAACTGGACAAAGATTCCTTCTTCAAGTATAATTTTATGCTTTTATATGATAACATTATTGTCAAGGAATCCTGCGTTGTAAAACATCTGGTTCTTGCAAAAATGAAACACAAGAAAATGTTGATTGAATGCAATTCCTATTATGAGCACAAGATTTAACAGAAAACCAATGTCATCGAACTAAATATGTTCCTATGAACAACTTGTGCAAATCATAAACTCAAAATTAAGCATTATCACAATAAACCAAATGCCTCAAAGTTAATTTAAATTAAATGGGTACTAATAATTGATTACTAATGTTAAGATAAACTTTTCAATCAATTCCTTTTCCTGGTTCAACTCCTTAAGCTCAAAAGCCATCATAGACACAAATTGTTATTATTAAATGATAATTTAGCAAACAAAAGAAAACCCATGAAAGATAATCATTTATCATTCATGAATACCTTCAAAATCTTCTTCCTTGTTAAAAAAAGAAAGAAAGAAAAACTCACATTGGATTCTTGTTTTTAAGCTAATTCGGAAATAAAACGGAAGTGTAGATGAGAAAATGGAGAAGAAACTGACCACAAAACCAATGAGAGCAATTGGCCTGGCAAGCAATGTTGAAATGTCCATGGCATATGGAGCAAAAATCATTCACCGGAGGTCCATCCATTGCTTCCTTCTCTGTTTGTTTCGTTCTTCTTTCTTTGCTTAACACTTAGATTTTTCGATTTCCACCGTCTTTCGTTTTGGGAAACTAAAAATGTTGACGAATAAGATTTCTACGTTTTTTAATAAATAATAATAATAATAATAATAATCCAACAACGGCCTCAGTCTATAAATTCCCGTTCCATTTATCTATGTTTTTCATAGACAGAGGAGCAGGTAATAATTTATATTGTTATGTTGATGGGAAAATGGTCGTACGGTATGGTAGTAAATAAGGGAAAGGAGCGGCTAAGGCTGTAAAAAGAAAATGAAAGTGGCAAAATACTGTTTGGGACCTATAGTTTTTCCAATGTTACAAATTGAATCTTATAATTTAAACATGAAGGGAAATATAGTTTACCAAGCGTAAAAGAAATACATATAAACATTGGTAAACTGTCTCCTAAAAAAATAAATAAAATTAAACAATTTTTTTTATATAATATTGAGATGAAAAAATATTTGATTTATTTGGATTAATTTGAATTGACCTGAGATATCCAAAAAAATTAAAAAAACTCAATCTTGAATTAACTCAATGTTAAAGAATAAAATTAGCAAAACATAACATTTAATTTAAAAAAACTTAAATGAATTTGAGTCAATCAAACAAACTCGTAACACAAGTTAAGGACATTATCAAATTAAATAAATCTTATATCTCAAAGATTATTTTTCATTTAGTTATACGATAATAAAGTATATTATAATTTTTTTGTATGAATTATTTTCTAAAAAAAAGACAAGATAGATGCATGGGAGAGATAGCAAAAATAGATCATTGATAACAAATTATAAAATTGTATTTGTTTAGATTTGAGTTAAATAAAAAAAATAGATAATTGATAATAAATTGTGAAATTGTATTTTAAAAAAATTGAGAAACAAAAAAAGCATAAAAAAATTAGTTCGGATATTGCAAGTTAACCCGTTAAATCTGCGACCTAGTTTATGGACTCAATTGGGTTTAATGATCTTTTATCAATTTTTTTACCAAAAAAAACTAAAAGGAGACTAGATGTGTGGATCTAATTGCCCAACGTATTTGAGCATTAGAAAAATAGCACAAACATGTGAGCTTTCTAACATAGCCCGCACGCCTTCTGTTTTTCTATTTTAAAGAGGCGGAATGATTTGTTTTCCATCCTAATTTTTATAAAAAAAAGGATAGGAAATGATGCGTCATTTATTTTTTTGTAGAATCTAGCGATCAAAGGTCACTATAAAAAAGAGGTCTCGAGTTTTTTTTGACTAAAAAACTTATTTTTCAACTTATTTTTTTTACATAAAATATTTAAAAAACATCTTGATAAACATATCTATGGCTACAAAAAAACAGCTCAAAAAACTAAAGTCAACTCAATGTTAAAATCATTCCCATAGATAGATCTACCCCCTTGGACAAAGAGAAAAACAACACATGGGTGAAACTCCTCTCGTGAAATCAAACCTAATGACATTAATATTGATCATTTTATAGTTGGAATCGTCAAAAATTATGAATTTCTTTCTCTACACCGTAATCTAGCAAGCATCTCTCCTCTCTCACAAAAAATTACTAAAAGATAAAGAAAATAAATTTTGATATTAATATTAAATTTCTAAAAACTAAAAGCACCAGTTATCTAATAATTAAAAAAATAAAAGATTAAAATAAAATTTGAAGTTAACATCTATTTTACCTATTATTTTCATATTAGTTATCTATCTATAAATCAAACCTTTTTTTTTCTTAAAAAAATAAAGTTGATTAGAGTTAAAAAAAAGTCAATATAGTTTTAAAAGCCTTAATTATATATATATATAAAAGAGAATCAAATTGAATTTTTTTTTTATAATGATTTATAAGAGTGTGAATAATTTTTACGGTTAAAAGGCCACTTGGTTTATTTTTGTTAATAACTACACCATAAGGAAATTTTGATGATTATACAAGACACCAAAGCACAAAGACAAATGGATTTTTTTTATCACGTAAAAATGGATTTTAAACCTGATAAATTTTTTTTGACGGTAATGTCAAAATTGCAATTATATTTCTATCAATTCCACAAATAAATTTACGCAAAAACTATCTTGGTCACCTCTGTCCTAGTTCGTAAGCTTTTGGCTAAATTGTATTAAAATTTAGGTATAAATGATCGGTTCAATTTTTGAATATATTTTAAAAAATAACCATTAAAATTTACAAAAAAATTATTTTTTTTCAAATTTTTTTAAGGAAAACAAACAAATTTCTATAAAAAAAAAATTTAAAATAAAATATGAATTCTTTAATAAGTAAAATAATTAGAAATCCTTCTAAGATGTTTAATTTATTTTCTCAATAAAATATAAATGCATTGGACATGAGACAAGTAGAGTTCTGTAAAAAACACCAGGGGAATTTGACGCTGCTATGGGATTTTATTTTATTTTTCTGTTTCCCCCTAGGATTCTTATTATGAGTAATTGCAAAATAAAACATTCCACCTGATTTTTACAGAGAACAAGGGATCTGAGGACATTATTTTCCTTTTTCTGCTTTATACTTATCCATATTACTCCCCTCATTGACCAGATTTACTGAATAAAATTATCCATATTTCTGGAAATGCGTACCTCTCTCTTTGTAGGATGCACATTCACATCAACATGTTCAGGTGGCAAAACTATTGACATGTATATGAAAGGTTTTGAAGCTTTTGGTAAGGTAGCAGCATAAACAATTTCGATAGCTCTCTTTAAAGCAGTGCATTCCACTAGTCTATCTGTAGCAAACAAAAAAGACCATGGTAAAAGAAAGTTACAAAAGGAAAATGTGTGAGAACCAAACTATTTTCTTTCTTTTTTTTTTCATACTCTTATAGGAAAAGAAAACGGAAAAAAAGAGTAGAAGGCATATAACTTCAAATAATTTGCAATTCATCCTATTTTTCTTCTTTCCATAACAATCC